AACAATAGCCTATTCTTTAATATTTCAGAAATTCTACGTGCCGCATGTTTGCTGCAGACCAGTCTGCTAAATTGAAATAACGGTTTGCTGAACTAGAAATCACGTATCATCAAATCGTCCCCTTGCTGTTCTAACAGTGGTGTGTGAAAATTTTTTATATGTAATTTATATGGTGTTAAACGATGAATAAGATGGAAGAAAAATTTTTTTCACGGAAAAAATGGCAAAAGATGAGAGAAAGTTTCACGTTTGATTTAAAATTTTAGTATACTTAAGGAAAATTGAACGATCCAAGATGTGCACAAATTTTTTGTATAACACATTCTATTAAGAGACACTTTGTCCCGTACTGTAGTTAGTCTTTACCACGTAATTCTCAATTTTTAACCCTTTGCACTCGAGGGCTCCGGAGCGGAGCCATTTAAAATTTGTCTTCAAACTCGAGGGCTCCGCTATGGGGACAATGCAAATAATTTTCAGTTCATAACATAAGGACAAAGACAAATCGTAAAAACTATCGTGTATAGGATATTTCGCTCTTGGTGACAAAAGACGGTCGCGGCTCGCGGATTGCTCGAGGAATATTCCGCACTTGGATGCAAATGAGTTAAGTCAGTCCTGTTATTCAGTAGTAGAGTGTATCAGATTCGAGTTTATCTGTTGTTTTTATATTCTGAATTCAAATTTATATCCCCGATATGGCAAATAAAAGAAAAATTTGTGAAAATTACAGTGATATTGAAAGTAGTAACGATGAATTAGAATTTGAAGTTTATAGTGAACGTAACAATAATAATATAGACGCTTATAGCCGTGATAACGCAGACAATATTGAACTAAACTATGAATCCGATTCTAATGATAGTGATATATTTCCTGTTATACGACGAAACATACCGAGAATTGAAAGTGATAGTGGAGAAAATGAGGAAGACATAGCAGATTCAACTGAAAATGACGAATGGATAGATGTTTCGGAAGTGGATAATATTCCATCTCCTATGGATTTCGATATTTCACCCCGAATTGCCGGACCACAAATTTCCAACAATATAAAAGAACCATTAGATTTTTTTCGATTATACTTTACGGATACATTGATTGATTCCATAATAAAAGAGACAAATGATTATGCAAATTCAAAACTGCGAGGAAAGCAATTGTCAAAGAGATCAATATGGAATACA